TTCAGGGCAGTTCGAGAAAGAACAGAATTTGCATAGCAGGAGGAAGAGGAAGAGTTAAGAAGATGCAACAGGCACTGTGCAGATGCCACAGAAGTAGAAAGGGTCAAAGAGAGACCAGGAGAGTAGAATTTTCTTCTCAAATTTTTTTTTTTTTTTTTAATACATACTCTCTTTCAAAAACCCCAGCTTTATGCATACTGTCTCCAGTTCCCTTCATCTCACAAAAATCTCCAAGGCTTCTTCCCTTTTCCTTTCCCTTTCTACACCATAATGTTTGTGGTTGCCCTGACTCGGTTCCTTTCTAAGGGATGATGGGTACTACATACTTCCAAACAACTTATTTAATATTTTTTTTTTTTTTTAATAGCAGTTTCCCTTTAGGTTGATGCCATTTATACATAAGAAGTTTTTGTCCATATATAGCTGTGGGCATGAACATTAGGTCTGGAAAGCATAATTGTCTGTCTTGCAATCTGAGTGCAGCACAATGCAGGGAAATAATTAAGAAATCAGTCATCCAGCTAAGTGTTAATATTTGCATTCACCATTAATATATAGAGAGCAAAACTGCTGATGGAAATATTTTCCCAGTTTTCTTGCAGGCACAGATGATAACTTGAGAGGGAAAGTAGGTCTCATCCTAGCCCCAAAGTGATCACAGTTACATTTTAAATACCATCAAGTGTTTCTGGGTTTTGTCTGTGAATTTCATTGGAATCATAAGACAAGTGCTTGCTGATGTCTCAGGCAGGGCTTAGAGAATTAAACTGTGGTATCACAAGACTCAAGATTTTCTGTGCAAGACTTACAAACAAGAAGCAGCTTCTGTTTGGCTACTTAATTCGCTGAAGATTTAAGTGACAGATTACTGATCTTATCACTTATTAAATGGACACCTCAAACTGATAACCATGTGTCATATTTAGTCTGTCCCTTCTGTGCCTCTTACCCCCATCATCCCTGCCAAATGGTATGGGATACTATTGCATTAAAATAGATACATAGCAAAAGCCCAATTCTACATGCTCTGTTGTTTTGCATCCTGCTATGTGCTTACCTGCTCCACTCCAGAATGACTTGGTTTCAATTAGGTGACAAGTAAAGTACATAAAATGTTTTCTAGGCACTTCTAACCTAATCTAATCTGTTTCATTACCTGTCCATGCACTTGACCCCTTTTCGTTTTCTAGTGGTTGAAATATTAAGATAACATTATTAAGATGCTCAACAAGGTCTAAATAAATGCTCATATGTATTAAAATGAAAGGAAAATCTTACTGTAAGAGAAGAAATGCTTATTTTGGCTGTCCTGAGAATTAGAAAGACACTGACTGATGAAGATACAAAATATGCAAAAGCCACATGAAGACGGAAGAGAGCTGTTATCTCTTAGATCACGTCACCTCTGTGCAAGTATTGTGCTCCCCTGAGGACATGGGTTAAACTGATAGTGCATTACAGAACTGATAGTGCGTTACAGAACTTTCTTGCAGCCCTTCCTGGGACAAGCTCCTCTTGATGCAGTTGACTTCAAATCAACTTCTGTTGTGAGTGCAGATACCAGGATTGAAGTGCTCTTCAAGTCAAGATATATTTATATAGGTGGGAACAAGTAGAAATTTTGACAGCCATATCAGCAGTGCTGTCAGATTGATCTGCTTTGGAAAACTACATCCATCTTGGTTTGGAACATCACTAAGAAAGAGAACCAGTACTGAGGAAGAGGGAAGGTTTATCTGTGGAAAGGAGGAGAATTAATACCAGAATGATGTATTTGCTCATCATTAAAACTGTTCTGAGTTTTCATTTTTAAATGAGGTTTTTGCTTCCATTTTTAACTTTGAAAATACAGGAAAAAATGTCTAACAGTTGAAATCCAATTGCAATCACAAAACCAATCTTGATTGAACATTTCAACATCAAATCTGAAATTGTCACTGTCATTTGTGAGATTTGGGCTTTTGTCTTCCTCATAGCCCTGCTAAGCAAATGCATTCCCTGAAGGTCTGGAATAAAATAATTTTGTAATCAATGGATTAAGATGTAAATCTGGACACACACATTTACAACAGCACCATCATCAGCTGAAAAGCAAACTTGTGTTGCATCTAGCAAAAGAGGGAGGAAATAATTGACCTGAACTTGCAGATGTTTTTCCCAGAGGAGTAATGGCCTTTATGTAAATAATCAATTTATTCTGTAAGTGCATACACTTTCATTCCACAAATTGACTTCCCCTCTTCTGCCCTTTTCGTTTTTTCAAGACTCTGCTAAATCTAGCAAGTCTCATCATTCTGTTTTTAAATCTCAAAGCTGTTAACATGCAGGGCTGAGTTATGTAGGAAACTCGTTGTTTTAAAGTAGCATCTTGAAACCTCAAAGTCAGTGTGAAATAAATATCTTGGTTGGATAGCACTATGAATGACAGATGTAGCTTATCAGTAATGTGGAAGAAATACAGCTTTTTAACATCATCTTCTCCTGTCAGGTAATGAGTGATAGAAAATAGACATACAATAAACAACCAAAGTGATGGAGTAGTTTGGTAAATAAATTCCTTTGCTGCAATACCAGTGTTTTCCAAGTATGAGTCAAACATGCAGTATGTGATTGTTTGCTATACCTCTGTACATGACAAGCGACATTTACAGTGCTGAGCAACTTTGGCACTAAAATTCATGACCAGTGAGCAGAGCAAGGGGGACACTTAATGTTTATACTCTACACAGCTCCGGTCTTGAGTTTGCCCAGGTTCCCCCGTGTAACTTCAGAGAAATAACTGGGTGTACCCAAAAATGACACCAATGCAAGGATGATCAGAATCTCCACCTACATCTTTGTTCATAAATTGTCACAGTCAGTTTTTGGCAATTCTGATTTTGTTCTGGAGTGCAGCTGATTGTTTTCCTTTTTTTGCTTGCCTGTCATGATACGTGTGCATGAATATAATCTCTTGTTTCTCTTTTTAACCTGAAATGGTTGGAGGAAGGGTACAGCACTCTCTCCTGAGTGGAGATCAGTTGATAACTTGCCTGAGGAAATTTTGTTCTAGGCAGTTATTGGTTAACTCTTGTTCTTAGAACTTAAAGGTATATGTTTCTCAGATAATTATATGTTAGGGAGTATATTGTGATAGATTCCAACTGTGAGTGTCAGCATTAGTGCCTTTTACAGTTTTCTAGCTTCTTGTTTCAGGAATACTCTGTCAGTGAATTTCACAGGATAATTATCTATTGTTAAACAAAACTCCAGTTTCATTGTTCCTTAAGCTGTTCACTTTCATAGTATCTCATCTGTCGCATCATCTGTTTTCGGCTCTCAAAGTAGCATAACTTCTATATTTTTTATATGGAAATCATACAGTTCCTGTAAGGATTACTCCTTTTTCCTAGTTTGTTTGTTTGTTTGTTTGTTCGTTTACGGAAATATTACAGACGTGGCAGCTAAAGCTAAACAAACAACTCAGTGTGGAGCTAGGTATTAATGCAGGGATTGCCACTATGGATGAGCCCAGTTTTTGTCTAGCTCAGCTTTCTATCTGATAGATGCCACTGGAGAGTATTTCAAAGGAAAGTACAACACAGCCTTAAGTAAGGAAATAATGCTCTTCCACTATTAGTCTTCTAAGTTGTGCCATAACCAATGAGCGTCTGTATGGCTACTTATTTTTACCCAAGGTACAGCAGGTGTTGGGCTTTTTCTTGCAAGTATAAATACCTGATCCTTTCTAATATCCTGCTATTCTCTAGTCTCAGTGGTGTCTTGTAACAGTTAGTTTCACTTTGGGTTAATCAAGTACTCTAGGAAAAAGTTTTTGCCTTTATCAATATTATGTGTGTTGTCTTTTTAGTTTCACTGAATGTCCAGGAACGTAGCTTTACTTCCCCTTTTCTGCCATTCATTATTTTCTAAACCTTGGTATTGTCTTCCCTTACTCATCTCTCTAAAGCAAACAATTCTGAATGCCTCAGTCACTTCCACTTGATTTTGCATGCTTTTAAGAATTTGTATTTTGGTTTTGTACCTGCCCTAATTTTGAAATGTACTTTTGAAAGATGAGAATTCCAGGCAAAGCCCTGCTCTGTAGGCTGACAATAGGATATTACTTACATAATTCTGATTCTTTTGTTGAACTATTTTTGCATTTTTCATTTCATTTTCTGTGGTGATCCCCTGTGTATTGGAAAGACTTCAGGAGGATGTTCAGAGCTATGTAGCTTCTTGCAACACCTCCCACAAATACATCTTCACTTACCTGAGCACCCTAGAGTGCTTCAGTCAGGATTTATCTCTGCTTTCTTTATTATGTTCCAATAAAAGGGCAAACTGTGTGTTTTGAAAGCATTTTAATTGACTTAGTTTTTGGTTTTTAAATGCTCGTGTATGTATATTTGTCAAATACAGGTGAAAGGCAGGCATTTGGAGTGGACTGTTGTTAATTCAGTAGTGATCTGCTCCTTTTTTTTAAACTACACTAAACTGTCTGAAATGAAGCCCAGTTTCTACCTGCAGAGAGTTTAAAATTATGGCAGTTGCTATACAGCCTAAGCTATTTAAATAATGAACTTTTGAGGAGTTGATCTTGAGATGCCTCAGTACCAAAGTTTAGTCTCTGCATTTTGAAAGTCCTTTTTTCCAGAATACTGCCCAAACTTTATCTAGTTGTGGCTGAGTGTCATCTATGAAGATGCAGTTTGTCACAGGCTACTGGAAAAGTGATTATTTCCTGGGTCAGAGGCTGCTTCTGTAGCTGGTGGTTTTTCATCATTCAGAGAAACTATAGCAAACATTTTCTCACATCTAAGACCTTTGTAAATGAGGATAATGAGGATGTAGAAGAAGCATGGTGGTCACTAGAAGAAGTCTAGGCTGTGCTTAGCTTTCACTCCTGATGAAGCAGCATTTTTGCATTAAATTAGAGCTGAAAAATAGGAGTCCAGATTGCTAACCTATTTTTTTTTTTCTTTTTCTTTTTTTTTGGGGGGGGGCGTTATCCCTAGATCTAAACGTCCAGTGCCAATTTCAACCACAGCACCAAGAATTGATACTCCCAGGGCTGTAATTCCACACCAGAAGGTATGTGACAATTTCTCTTCAGCCAAAGTTAATACCATTTTTATCCACCATGGTGAACGGAAATACTTACTACAGGAAATAGCTTTTGCCCACCCCAAATAAGTAAGCATTGAATGAATGCACAGTCAGCAAAGCTGTCATAATGCAATGTGATCTGTATGTTGTTAATTTCTGATTAGCAGAACCAAAGCATCCAGCTGTCCTCTGATGTTACTTGGTCTAATCCATTCTGAGCAGCTTGTTTTCGTCTGGGCTGCAAGAGGCTATCAGAGATTCTCAAAATTTGCTTTTGCAGATTCTTGGGGAAAAAAACGTTAGACTGTGCCTGAGTGTGTTGAAGTCCTGACTACAACTGGGAAGATGCTGATTTGGAATGAAAACATTAAGGCAATTGGAAGCTTGCATCATATTGTATTCTTGTCACATTATTCAAAAGATATGGGAATAAAAAATAAAGAGGATAAGTTAATTTAATGAATAATGGTGGCAGAGGAGCTGGATGGCTTGGTTTCTGTTGTCAAATCTTGTCATCTTCCATAAAATAAATGTTCGTATCAGAATAAATAGCATTCATTGACTGTACCTGGTAACTCATCTGTATCTTTGGGCGGCACTGGGGAGCAAGGGTACCTGAAAGATGTTATGTATCCTTAGGCTCAAGCACTGGGTAGGACATTTCTATTGCTGATACATTTAATTAGATAAATGAAGAGGCGGAAATCTCCATTTCTGTAACTTTATCCCTTCTGTTAATGCTAGTGACATCCCTAACATGTTGTGTAAATAAGAAATACTGAAGAACAAAATACTTGGGGAATTAGGTGGTGTTCTACTAGTTTTGGCAGTTCTGACATCCATAGATACAATTTTAAGTAGTTTTTATGAAAAATGTGTTTTCCACATTCAAAGCTCAGAAGATAACATCGTCCCTGTAACCAGTGCAAGTTTGTGCAAAATAACAGAAGAGAACACACCTGGGGAGATAAATTTGATTCAATTTTATTCTGTCAAATTTGAAATGAACCTGTCTGGATATTTATTAGTTGAGGAAGAAATAATTTTTTTTTTTTTGCTCTGGATCTAGTAAACTTTTTGTCCAGAGGAAATGAAATTAAGAATTGATCTTGCTCAGAGTTGTTTCTGCTTCTGTCTTGATTTTATAAAAGTTAGCTTGGAGAAAGTTATTGGAAGAGTCACCAAACAGTACTTCGAAATTCCTAGAAGAAAAACAATGGATCATTCTTCCAGTTAGACTGGAGTTCAGCTGCACCAGCAAAGCAATAGATAGCAGAAGGGGGAGAGAGTACTTATTTTCCCTCACGAACTACACAGAATGCTGTTAGTTTTCAATGCAACAAGTAGACATGTTTATTCAGAGTAATTCACCAGCACAAGGCTGACAGTTATCTTTTGAGACCCTCAGTAGCACCTGTGCAGGTATGACAATTACCCTACTTCCACCACAGGCACACAGGCTTCTATACGTGAGATTTTCATGACTCTCTATCGATCAGGTGCATTTCTTCCCTGGCAAGTGTCAATTTTAAAATTACTGCCATATGTATTTAAAGCTGTTTACCACACAAAACAGTTTTCTCCCTTAACTACCTACCCTATAGAAAAGATAACTTCACCCACTGCAGGGTTTTTTCTAAAGGTCCTAAAAGTGCCTTTGGCATGAAAGCTATAAAGTCACTTTATGTTTCTTATTTTAACCCTTCAGAGAGAGATGAGCATTAAGGAGCTCAACGTTTTTTCAGGAGCATGTTTTCTCACACTTGAGAATCCCATGTATCAATGTTTAGGAATCACAGAATCATAGGTGTTTTGAGTTGGAACATGGAGGCCACCTATTCTGAACAGGCTACAGCCAGTACTTGCAATGGAAAAGGTTTACTGGAGCCCTTCTGGAGGAAAACAGTGGTATCTAGGACAAGGTATGGGTGGGAAACAGAGTAGCAGTATTAAGAAAGGTCTTAAGTGCAGGGTCTTTGGCCCAGGAGGAATAGGTAGCAGTAGAATGCTGGAGTGATGTTTATGTCACTAATATACGCTAGTAGACAAGTCAGTTTTTAACTGAAGAAAAGTTCTTCCCTGAGGGTGGTTTGGAAGTGTATGAAGCATTGAATCACTGGATAAATCTCAAAATCTGGAATATAAAGTCTTTACTGATACAGACAGTGCTCTGGGGATGTTGCAGTAAGGTATGTTATGGTAAATATGCATTAAAAATCAAGGTTTCTGTGTTTGTCCCTTTGTTATTTCTAATAACAGTATCACTGTAGAAATGAAGAATTCTGTGTCACGTAGGCAGAAGCTGTCACCTCCACATCACTGCTTGACAGTGTTTAGACTCTCACAGGTCACGTGAAATGAATTTGAGTGCATTTCAAAAAAGAGCAAAAAACCACATTACAAGACAGTCACGACAGTGTTGTCCTCAAGCATCGAGAGAAGTTTTTCTCACCTTTCTCTGAGTCAAGGTTAAGGCATGGCAGTGTTAGCTAAAAGAACCTGCATGTGCAAGTTCAGTATCTAGTTTAAACCATAAACTTTCTTATACATTGTTGCTGATCCAATTGCAGCTTCCACTAATTTTCAAGCATGTATGTCTTCTTTGACTGCTATGGTTATGGTTCTTTGTGTCTTAGAAAAAGAAGCATACATTATTCTAGAAACACATAAGGAAGGTAGAAAAACCAGAGTTCTTCACCATGATCTTTTCTTTTTTTTTTTTTTTTGACATTCCATTTCATTCCATTCTCTCCATACTTCCTTGAGCTGATCAGTATTATGGATGATACAGGTTCTGCAACCATAGGTATGGCGTAAATGAGCTGTGGGGCTGTTAACTGGAATGATTTGCGGTTTCACTATTTCCTTACCTGATATTAGTCTCAAACTTGAAACAGTTTTAATTTAGTCTAGTTAAATCTTTTTGATTTAGTCAACATATTTAGTCAAGTCTTTTGCATAGGTGTGGCATAGCTGGAAGAAAGGGTATAACTAATGCTGAAAGCACTCAAGTAACAAGAAGAGTCAGCATGATTCCAAGGATTCAAACAAAGCCTCGGTGAATTCCTGAAGCTTTTCAGGGGGAACAAAACATGGTCAAGCAGAAGATGTATGGCTGAGCATAGCTTTAACATTTGTCCCTTTACATAAAGGTATCAAGGCAGCCTCTTTAATTTAAAAAATATGACTCTGTGTGGTCCTGTTTATGGAACAGTACTGAACACAGTTACTTCAGAGACCCAGTGAGGATCTCATGATGCTTACGATTTGTTTCCTGACAAGTTTGGGAATCTATGTGGCTAAGAGAAAAGAGATGAAGGAGTGACTGACTTTTTAAGTGAAGCATAGGATGGAAGAGCTGGCTGAGCTAAAAGCTGTTTGTTGGATGTATTTGTTCAGTCATTTAATGTCATGGTGCCACCATTTCCTTCTTTCTGTAAAACATTTAAGGTAATAATTTGGCGTGTTGAGAGGTCAAATTCATTAGTATAGCATTAAAATTGCTCTCCAAGAAATGAATAAAGATTGTACGGTCATAGATAAATAGAGCATGGGCTGCCAAAGGAAGAGGAGCTGAAAAACTGGTGTTGTGTTTTCCAATATGAATGTTTCTCTCTTCCCTGATACATAAGGAGCATTTACCTTTCATGGAAACTGAATGTTTATAAGGAAAAGCATAATAATATTTCGGAAGGGCAACATTCTGAGACTTCTCTTCATTTATCATTTTTTTAGCTCATTCACTGACATTACAGTGGGACATTAAAATGCAATTTTCCTCTCGTAGTGAGGGATTGCTGTAGATCTCAGCATCCTTCTCGAGGGAAGAAGCCCATTGCTCAGTGTCAGCGCCCCCTCTTCTGGTCGGCCGAAGGGTAGCATCAGACTTGCATGGTTCGAAATGTTAGCTTGCTTTTCCAGCCGCAGAGAGTGCAACAGAACGGGTAAGAGAGTTGTGAAACAGGGGAACGTTTGTTGCTGTTGGCTGTATTTCATGTGATGTAATGCTAAAAGCCGTGCTGCTGCTTAGTATTAGAGATTTGACCTCCACATTCAGAAATGCTTTCAGAAGTGCTGCATTGATCTGGTTTTGCCACCGAACTGGAGGAAAGAAAAATAATCCTAAAATATCTACTGGAAATAAACTGAATGAGAGATTCTTTGACAATCACAAAAGGGAAGAGGTAAATGAGATGATTATTGGGTAGTGAATCTTTAGCAGAAGTTATACAGCTGCTGTCTGAGCAGTTCCTGTTTCATCCCTTTCCCCCTGAACACACAAAAGCAACTACCTTAAAGCTACCAGAACATTAACTCAAAATGGAAAATGCTAACCTGGCGCTGCTGGGTTCCTGGGAATTCTGGTGTTGAGTTGTCAGCATGCTGCTATTACAACTAGAAATTGTTTAAGCAGTGAAACTAAAATTCCACTCATGTCATAAAGGTGAGCAAAGTCTTTTTTCTTATGGTAGTCCTGTATTTTTCCCTTTGCCTACTGTTAGTGTCCATTACCACCAAAACTGTGAAAATGCTTTAGGATTAAGGAAATATCTGGCATTCATCTCATTAGAAGTCAAAACTGATACTTTAAAATCAGATCCCCTTGCAAGTCCTTTTATTAAGGGGTATGGAAAAGAAACCCACAGTGAACTTAGATAGAAGCCACAGACTTCTCAGGGCAACAAACAAGTATAGCTGTGGCATATCCTTTTTCTACTCTATTGCCTCTGTATTTTATTTTTTATTAAATATTTGGTTTGTCCCTCTCTGCTAGCATGTAAAAGTCATTTGCACAAGCGGTGGCTTAATTTATGAACATGTCCTTGTGCATTTGTGCCACTTTTACAACACATTTTTAGAGAGAATCCCTGTTTTCTGTTTATTTAATACTTGGAAGCTTGTAGTAAGCCACTTAATGGTTGGTTATTTGCTGGTGTTGATGTCAGAGTATAATGACTAGAGTATTTAATTCAAATGTATTTATTTAAGAAGGCATAGTCTGTAAAATACTTTTAGGATTATCTATTTCTACAGCCTCAGGCAGCTATTAATGCCAGCTAAAATCTCTTCCTGTTTATTCCCAAGAAAAATGTTCTCAATTCATTTTATCTGGCTTACATTTTTGATTCAAAACAAGTGTATTTAATGTCATGATTAATTGTGTCCTTAGACATTTAGGGTGGGTTTTTTTCAATTAATTTTAATTAATCTGGCAGTATTATCTCTATTTCTCAAATGTAGTCTCCCTAAATTTTAAATATGCAATAATGAAAACTCCAGAAGAAAAACATAAAATAATTCTCTTTCTAGTGATCCTTAGTATCGATATCAGTAAATAACCAATACTAGCTAAAGTAGAAAATCAGAGGCCAAATTATTCTCTTAGGCCCGTTTCCTGCAAGGCTATGGGGGACATGTGTGTAAGATATTAAAGATGGTGATTGAAGCAGTTGCCAGCCCAAAGGAGGCAAATTGTCACTGCAGGCCACCACCTGCTCTTGTATTGGCTTTCATTGAGGGTAGACTGTGGACTCCATCCCTTCTTCAGGATAACATCCCCTGCCTGTCCCTGCCCTCCAGAGCTGGACTGCAGCATGCTGCCAGCATTATTGGGGGACCTCTTAACTGAGTGTGCATTGTGGCATCTGGGTACCAGTTATGGCTGCAGTGCAATCTAGGTCCAGAGGGAGAGGTTGAAGCGATCCTTCTCCTGTAGCAAAAAAGCCCAAATTAGGCTGGAGTCAGGAGCTTCTGAGATAAATTACAAATTGATATTCTAGCTCTAGAGAAATCTGTAAATTGCCAAGCATTCACATAGTTTGTTGGGTACCTCAGCTGTAGGTTATTTTTTTCACCCAAAACATGTAATTACAGGCAAACAGCATGAAAAATAAAACAGCTTTTGAAACCATAAGATTCATTATTTTAAAACATGTGCTAATGAGTTCCCCCACTCAGGATGCTATGTTCAAAAGGTAGTCATTAGAGAGATGTTAAAGATAATCAGTGTTAGAATCATGCTATTCATGTTCCAGTCACTGAACCTTTAGAAGTTAAAGAATAAGATAACTGAGAGTAAAGGTATAAAATGCTCACCTGAAAGTGAAGTTTGCATTCCTCTTTGAGAAAATTGTCCATACTTCCAAAAAGTACAGAGCTGTGGTTACTACATGCTGCCAGTAGCTGGAGTGAAATGAGGCAATTTAACGGTAAAGGAGCTCTGTGTTCCCACAGTGTTGAGTGCCCTCCAGTCCTAGGGATTTAAATGATGTTGCACCGGAAGGAGTTGAAGCAGTGATAGGGTGGTTTAGGCAACGTGAATATTGAAGTTTTACATGAACTTCCTCAGAACTCGTGCCATAACTTATTTCCTGCATTGTGTTGCTGAAAAGGCAGTATTTCTCTTTTTTTTTATATTACCTTTTAATTTGGTTTCACAAAGCTGCATTAATAGCAAATCATTTATGAAACTAAAGCATACTACTTCATTTTTCCAGGATAGGATTTTGATAGAATGTTTCTAATCTGAGCACCAGCATAGACTTCTATGTGTACAGCTATTGTGGGAGATTCCTATGACTTCAACTAAGACGATACATCCTGCTGTCCTAGTTATGAATATTATCTGGGACATGACTGTGGGATCATACACTCATCATCTACATACTCATGCACATATTCCTTCAGGTGAAGATTATGCAGAAATGATCAGAATAGAGGCATCCTGTCAGTTGAGCAGTACCTGTTGTTGAGTCCTGTTGTCTATCTGCTAACCATGCTGCATGGCCTAATTAGCATGAACCAGAGCCTATGAAAGCAATGCAGTGTGCAGGCTTCAGTAACTTGAAATGTACTCATGGAAAATAGAATGGTGTGGTTTACAGTCATGTTTTTATAATAATGGCATTGACTTTTATGTTTGTATACTATCTCAAATGATTCTGACCTCAAGACTTTTAAGATTTCTTAATTATCCTAGAAATTAATGATCAGTGTTGTCTTTATATAAAACTCTTTCTATGAGGTTGACAAGTAGCAAATTCTGTTTTAATGTTAAGCTTTATTTGTTGGTTTCAACTAAAACCCAGTTTAAAAAATGCCTGAATATGTTTTGCTTCCCTTATTTTGAAACAATGCCTTTCTTTGTTGAAATCTTCCCTGAAAGGTTGGGTGCTTTGACTCCAATCTCTTTATTGCAAGCTTATCAATATGTTTAGAAAGCAGTAATTGCAGATATGTTATTTTTGCATGTGTTCTATGATTGCTCTTTTCTTTTTTTTCTTTTCTTGGCTTGCATGTTTGCTACTACAGGAACCTGCTTGGGAAATCAATGGCAACAGAACAACCTTCAGTCCTCTAACTAACACGGCGACTGGGCCTGTGGGTAGTATTTTAGCAACCAATGGAACGTTTTCAGGCTACCTCAACAAGCAAGAGATCAGCTTTTCAAATAGCTCTTCCTACTTAAAGACTACCACAGTTAGATCTTCCATGTCCTCTCAGTCTGTGACTCCTGACATTTCACCTGCAAAGAGTAATCTAGGTTCAAAGCTAAGCCCTGTATTGACTGATGGCAATAGTCCTGTACACCAGATGAGCCCTGCAAGGCAGTATAACAACCCTATTGGCCTTTACTCAGCAGAGACTCTAAGGGAAATGGCTGAGATGCATAAATTAAGTCTCAACCGAAGGGCTTCGGAAGGTGGACTTCCTAGAGGGTAGGTAATGTGGTAAAATATTTAATATTAAAATAAGTAATGGATTTGCTGAAAAATGAATGTGATAGTACCTACCCTATTGTGTATTTGTCTGGTAATCATGATTAAGGTCTGGAATGATCATTGCATTTTCCAGTACCCCCGAAAACATACACACAGTACCATTATAGAATAACTCTTGGTCTTTGGTATTTGAATTGCAATATGGATTGGCAATAGTCACCAGAGCATGAGAAGAACGCTATCACTGAAGTAACTGATCATCTCAGGGTTGGCATTTAGCAGTTTAAACCAATGCATGTAGTCTCATAGAACCAGCTATCACTGTTGGCCATTATAGAAGTTGCTATAAAACAGATCTGATCTTTAGTACTTTCCTAAAGAGAAACTGCAAATCTGACATGCTAGTCAGCTGGTGTGTCTGCTATAATTCATGCCTTCCTATGCAAAATGAGTCAAAATTGCAGTATTTTGAATCCTTTGGTCTGAACATTGTTGGTCTCACATCTGTTAGCTTTGCTCTTACGTTGTATGTAACAAGGAATGATTTCTAGGTGCTACCCAGGTAGTTTGATCCCATGCTGTCAAAGTTTTCAGTGTTAACTCTGTTGCAGATCAACTAGTAGATTTGTGAAGTGGGGAGCCGGAATTACAACATGTGAGAAAAAGCAGAGTGAAACAGTCTTCCTATTTTTCCTGTCTTCATATATTAATTTGCAAACAAATCTCTAATTTGCTTATTTGGGTTTATTTAAAATGAAGATAAATTTCTTATTATGAACATGGGGAAGAGTGTACTAGGGACTTGGCTGTATGAGAAAAAACAGGAAATTCAGACAATCCACTTGAGGTCTGATAGCAAATGCATATATTCAAGTATGTTACATCCCACTGCAGAAGGTCTTTGCAAGAGTAAAACCAGGGGGTTGTTAAGTTGTAGCAAAGTAAGGATACTTTATCCTTATTACAGAGCATATATCATATTCTCGATGATTCAGGCAGTTTAGATGATTTGTTGAAACTCTCTTGAGCACTTGGCATTAACAGTCCTAATTAACTTATCTGAAAAAATCCTATCCTCCCTTCTTATACTGGATAATTAAGAAAAGCAGTTAGTGTTTAAAAGAAAATCATTTCAGTTAGTAAGCAAGATCAGCAAAATAAACCTCAGAATGCTTCCCTGTTAATTTACAGTTTGCTTGAGGAAAACGACTTATTTCAATATGCAGAGTTTCCGGGGAGTATATCTCACTATCTTTCTTGTACTATCTTCGCATATCTCCGTAACATCTGCAAGGGCAAGGGTGAAGGGGCTGTATTTGGGGTGGCTCAGCATTCTGGCTATGTCTGTGTTACCAGAATTACAACACAGCTGCATCCATTCTCTTGATTCCAGAAGGCATTGTGATCGGAGTACATTAATATGACAGTGATTGCTGGGGTGCATAAAAGGTGAACCTGCAGAAAACACTTCACTGTCTTCACTTTGCTGCTTTTCCATGGTTTGTGTCTCCTTTACATGTACACGTTAGTGCATGCCTGTGGCAGTGCACTGCATTACAAAGCAAGGGTCTACCTTAGAATAAATCTGAGATATATTTTATTTTGATCAAAATTGTAGTGAGTCGCTGTCTGTCTGCCTGCAGTATCTGCAGCACCAATCAACAAATCAGAAAATCTGTGAGAGGTCATCTAACTGTTCCGTAAAAAAAAAGTCAGCCTTTATCCTCCAGCCCAGAAACATTCTGAAAACATGAAAGGGCCCAGAGCTACCAAGTACATGTGTCTTTTCAGACAATTCCTCTAGGAGTTACAGAACTGTACATCTCTGTTTACATGCAGAGAAAATTCAGAGTTCAAGAATCCTGTCATTCCTGCTCCCACTTGAGTGTTACTGATGAAGTTAGGGGTATCTTTCTTAATGCTTTTTAGAGAGTAATCTGGAACATGTAACTACCCTGGGACTTGGTATCACGCATTATAGTATTGATCTCATTATGGATATACATAGAAGAGTGCACAAGGAAAGCACTGTGCGCTCTGAAAAATCATCTCTGCCCTTGGTTGTGGATGTTTTAATCATATAGTACAGCATGAAATGCTGTGTACAGATAGTGAAATTATGGTGCTCCAAATCTCTTATGCATTCATGAGCATGCACTTAGCACTATAAGCAAAGTCAGGTCTCGGGTTGATCTTAAAGGATGTTTTATATTCCAATTTGGTGTCCGTTTCACCAAATCATTTAAACTTTATTGTGTGAATTGCTGTTGGAAACTTAGCTAAACCCTTTGGAAAACCCTATCAGAAAGGTAAAATAAATTTTGAGATTATTTCCTTGATCTGTGAAGAATAACAAAGCATCTGATTCTCTGATGCAGTTTTACATTAAAGCTTTATCACCCTGGCCCAGGGTGAAAAACAGATGTGGCCTGTTAAGTGTGCGGAACTTGATGTGCTGAAAGCCCTGGAAAGGGGAGTATTAATAAATACGAAGAGTGAGTAATAGCTTGTAACGTGGTTCTTTTTCATTCCAGTGTAAGTTATTTTTCACATTGTAGGTCAGGGGCAGTAAATACCTGTTCCACAAGTATGTGCCGGGTGGCTTGGGTTACTAGCTTCTGACTGTGTGACCTCTGAGAGCAGCAGGTTGGGTGTTTCATACATGCCCGTATTTAGAATCAGGCTAAAATAATGTGTGGCTCTGACTGGAGAGAATTTTCTCATCATGTACTGAACATAAGGAGAAGTAAAGCTTTGCTCTTTCTGAAGGAAGCGATAGTAGCCTCTTCATGCCTAGAAAAGTCTTTACTGAGATTTTTAGTAAATTTTTTGAGCTGTTCTTAGTGTGTGCACATGATGATTATCATCATTTTATCATTATAAGAACATATTCTTATATGCAAAAAAAGCGGTTCCTTTAATTAAGGAAGTTCTGCCTTTAAAGTATTATTTTAGAATAACAGAACCTGGATTAGAAGATTAAAGCAGGCATCGGAGTCCACTTCAGAAAATGATACTATTACACTATGTTTCATTGTAAATGAGTGCCCAGCTGTCCTGCATATACCTAAAATGGATATAGGATCACTGATGTGCTTACAGGCTGCAGCTTGTTCCTAATATATCTCTCCTGGCCCCTGGGGCAGACTGATATATTTGGCTTAATGTAGGGTTTATAAAGTTACAACATTCACGAATCCTAGAGTCTGTGGTTGCTTTTCCGTGGGAATGCAGAAGTGCAAAGCCTGTACTGCAGCTTTGGCTCATTAGAGTTTTTTACATCATGGAAGAGGCAGCTGGATGAGCTAGTGCAAAAGGACTTTATGTTGAAAGAAGCAGTAATATCAAAGGTTTTGCAAGGCAAAAGCAGAAGGAGACAAATCCACTTTAAATGTCACTCTAACAGTATGACATTGTTGTCCAATATTTCTTATCAATCCCAGATCTAGAAATGTTACAGCAGCGAGTTGGAAGATTCAGTGCCCAGTTCTATCAACAGCATTCTGTGCAGCTAAATAAGAAGAAATGTTTATTAACTGATCCTGGACTCTCTTCCTCTTTAATTTGTGCAAAATACAATGAATTACTCTTCACCTAAGAATATAAGAGCAAAATACGGGTATTCTAAGCTCTCAGAAAACTAAGTTAAAGTCAGTATCATAGCCCGTTAATGCTATTTGTGCAACCAAAAGAAAGAGTTGTTAGCAAATAATGTAATGCAACAGTCTGAGCATACTATCTGTTCATCACTCCCAGCTTTGGCCTGAGTAAGGCCTATGTTGAGTTCTGTATTAGGTTTCTTTGGAATTGCTGTGCGAGCCACCCTCAGTTCTTGTTCATGCAGTGAAGCACAAACATGAGTTTTTTCATACTGTGTACGTACCAGATGGAATAAAATATCCTGATATGGGTATCCAAAAAAACCACAGAATGCACAGACTTGCTTCCTTTCATGTGGAATAAATTAGAAATTACTATTCTGAAATTAATCAGCTTGCACCACTGTTGGCATAATGTAGGTACAGTCAGATTTAGGCCAATAGTTTGTTAAATACAAAGGTGTTTTCCTTAGTTTTAGGTTTTAAACACTCACCAATATATTCTTTGGATATTCTCCAGCATTTAAAAGACAAAACCGTCAATCTTGCAATACCAACTTTGAAGGCGGCCTCAGGAGAAGATTTCTTCTCTGAATATTTAGTATCTGACCACTCATTTGATATTTTCAAATGATAATATGCTCAACAAGTGCTTCTTTCTTCCCTTTGCTCCCTCTCCCCATACATATTGATAATAGTACTTTTAAGGATGCATGGCAATAAAATAATGTTCAAGGGTCAGCCAAAATGCCATGGTACCCTACTAAGTCCCAGTGGATCAGCTATATAATCCCTATATTTTTTCCTTTCTTAATCATGTTGGGGTTTTCAGGCATGCATTTACTTTTTGTTCTTATTTGTGGATGGTCTGAAAAAGCTTTAGTAAGCTTCTGTAAATACCTTTTGCCCTTTGCACTCTGAAAACAATTGACTTTTTCTGGTTGGTTTTGATGTTGTTTGTTCTCTTTCTCTTCTTTTAGGTCATAACCAACACTGCTGCCAAGTTAGTATCACTTCTGTCTAGTTCCAAGTATTTGTGTTGTGCTGTATGTGTGAACGTTTCTGGGGTAGCATGGTCCCTTGTGTTCCTGCTGTGTCTGCTTGCAAGTGGAAGTATTTTTAAGAACCTTTTACTGGCATGGCAAGCGTCATGCGCTGCCACTGGTGTCCAGTGGGGCTCCCTTCTAAGCACACCACATGTTCAGCATTTCTTGGTGATGTCCTAATGCTGCAAATCGAGTTAGCATCTGAGCTTACTCAGGTCTTGTAAATGGTTTCAGATGTTTCAATTTCTACAGCCAGAGTTTAATTCTTCCTAACTCTTTAAGCAGCCTTGAGGCCTTCAGGATTTGGAGAACCTTATCTGAGCCTTTTTTGGTGTTTTATTAGTGATGTATT